TGTGACAATCTTTGAAAGGATTTTATACCTAGTAATGAATTAATAGATAATGACACACATAAAATGTAGAGAGTTTGAATTAATTGGCTAAGAATAAAAATAATAATATAACCAATAGGCATGTTAAGTGTTCATTTTTGATCAACTTAATTTAATACGCACATGGATGGTTTTAAAATACTGATAGTGATACTTAAACATATTATATAGACTAAATATTTGTTTAAAAACGCATTCTTATACGAGACTTTTGAATTATTATTAACTAGGTGAAACCCGTCAATAACCCGTTAATCCCATTATCGATGGATGCTTTAAATGTTTACGATAATTCTTCTAACTACGATAAAAAGGGTAAAAATATCAGTCCTTTTTATTGGTTTTTAAAAATGTTAAATTTAAGTCGAATTAACAAGATTTTACATGAGTGAAGCTGTATCATACTATACGTTTTCAAATAGGAAATTTAAAGACCATTTTATTGATGTCCAAGATTTTAAATGCCGTAGTATAAAAATACTATTTTTTGTAAACACTTATCACTGGAATATTTAGTGATATTCCAGTACTTAAAGGATAAATTAATATAGAATTTAACATGGCATTCAAATACCTACTGTTTTAGTTTAGTATGTACTACTGTTTTCATTTGTAGTGCAGTAGGAATAATGGAAAATATACCTTAAGGTGAAACTAATTGCAACACAAATTATTCTTGCTGGGAATGGTGGGTATTATGCTTCTAATCAACACACTAAAAATATACACCCTACCATCTATAAAAAAGTTAAACAATTTTAACTTTAGTAAAACTATCTTTTTGGGTATCAAATTATAGAAAATTTAATACTGAAAAATATTTTGATAGTGGTTATAAGCACTATTTAGAAATACAATCGTAGTATAAAAAATATATTCGCCACAGCAAACCTACCGAATATGCAAATTTCCATTTGTCTGAATCGATTTTCAATTAAATCTACTTAGGCTAAATTACATCAGGTTTAACGAGTACCTAGTTTTTCTGCCTAAAGGAAACTAATAAAGTGGGTTTTTAGTAAAATATACCAAGTTTTTTTTTTCAAAATATATCAATAAAGAATGACACTACAACATTCTATAATATTCCCCATGAGAATAATATGGGAATTTAAAATGTATTTTTTTTTTCTCTGTTACCAATAACCGTATGAGAACACTTTTATATACAAAATTATTTGTTAAGCTCTTTAAAAAGGGTGTACGGATAAATAGGGAAATTTTGTGTTTTGAGGGTCAAAAATTAGAAAGCCCAATATTTACCTCATAAAACCCCCCGTAAAACTCTGTTCCCAAGGTCCGATTATTCTGGTTTGCAAACTTATCCAAGTTTATCTCACTTTACACCTTTAAACTAAGTTTCATCAAAATCAGACACAAACTATTCAAGTTATCGCTTTTACGAATACACATATAAATCAATTATATACAAATTTTAATAAATGGTGTTTTTGGCCTCTGGGGACATCAAAACGAAAAAGTTAATTGTTCAACAAGGGCCTATGTTTTACCATTCCACCTACGGTAATAGCTACTTGTCTATTGGGAAATTCGCTGGGAATTTAAAATGTATTTTTTTTTATTTTCTCTGTTACCAATAACCGTATGAGAACACTTTTATATACAAAATTATTTGTTAAGCTCTTTAAAAAGGTACACGGATAAATATGGAAATTTTGTGTTTTGAGGGTCAAAAATTAGAAAGCCCAATATTTACCTCATAAAACCCCCCGTAAAACTCTGTTCCCAAGGTCCGATTATTCTGGTTTGCAAACTTATTCAAGTTTATCTCACTTTACACCTTTAAACTAAGTTTCATCAAAATCAGACACAAACTATTCAAGTTATCGCTTTTACGAATACACATATAAATCAATTATATACAAATTTTAATAAATGGTGTTTTTGGCCTCTGGGGACATCAAAACGAAAAAGTTAATTGTTCAACAAGGGCCTATGTTTTACCATTCCACCTACGGTAATAGCTACTTGTCTATTGGGAAATTCGCTGGGAATTTAAAATGTTTTTTTTTTTATTTTCTCTGTTACCAATAACCGTATGAGAACACTTTTATATACAAAATTATTTGTTAAGCTCTTTAAAAAGGTACACGGATAAATATGGAAATTTTGTGTTTTGAGGGTCAAAAATTAGAAAGCCCAATATTTACCTCATAAAACCCCCCGTAAAACTCTGTTCCCAAGGTCCGATTATTCTGGTTTGCAAACTTATTCAAGTTTATCTCACTTTACACCTTTAAACTAAGTTTCATCAAAATCAGACACAAACTATTCAAGTTATCGCTTTTACGAATACACATATAAATCAATTATATACAAATTTTAATAAATGGTGTTTTTGGCCTCTGGGGACATCAAAACGAAAAAGTTAATTGTTCAACAAGGGCCTATGTTTTACCATTCCACCTACGATAATAGCTACTTGTCTATTGGGAAATTCGCTAAAACGGAAAGCATATCCAATATTGTCTAAGATGAAATATGTAGTGTAGCTTAATTTTAAGAATAACGACTCTACTGACTTTATTATTTGTAAAGCAAAAACCATTCACCGATGTAGTTATTCTGTTTCAAAAATTGTATGAAAATTTGTAGGCCTTTAAATACTTTAATTCAAAACTAATAATACTTTGAATAGCAAACTCAATAACCAAAAGCAACTGAATATTTTTATTATGATGCTAAGTTGAAGATAAAGCAGAGCTAATCACATAAACATGAACTGACCGCTGTCTTATCATTAGCCACTGCCACTTTTCTGACCAAACATGAAATTGAGTACTAATAAAGTGTTATTACTTATCATGTTTGTGTTCAACCTCAAATCTTATGTGTGGTGAATCGTAGGAGAATATGACATTCGTAACGAAACATGGTCTAGTATAACTCAATTTCTAAGGGTATTGTAAGGTAACAAACATTTTATACTAACATATATCTATATCCAAGAGCATTACAATTCTATTGAAAAATACATTACACTAAGTAACACATAAGTTTAATAAAACACTCACACAAAAGTGATATTTTACATCCTTTACTCTGAGGTGTTCCTGAAACAAATCTTTTATCCACTACCACTGATTACTGTTTTAGATAAATTGATGCTAAAACAAACATTTAAAATGGTCATTTATGTAGCCTTCTGAGATCTTAAAACTATTTATATAAAACAAATAAACACTGGTGGTGGTGTTGTAAATATTAACTTAAAACATGTTGTTTATTTAGAATCAACTTTCAAACATGAATTAAAGTCATTAACATAACTGTGTGAGATGTTTTAATATAATCGTATATATTTAAATTTGACTTATAAATCGATTTTTTGGTTATTAACCCGAGATGACTTACATGATGGTTGAAACATATGGTTGGTAATACAATTTTAGTTAAACGTGTAATTAACAGGTGTTGGCAGTATTTACCGCCACCGTAACCCGTAACTCATACACCTCTTTCTATGAACAGCCTGAATAATTTTCCAATCTCGTCTGTTTCCTATATTCAGTGTCTGGTATGTTCAATTGTTTTGATAAATTGCTACCTTCTAAATTAATTTTTATCCTCATAAATTGATATTGAAACCTATTCTATCTTATGTGGTTAGGCAATAGTTTTAAATAGTGTTATTTAATTTTATGATAGAACTCAAATGTTGATGAAAACAGTTTTCTAACCAATAAAACACAGTTGTAGTAAGATCAAAATGTTTCACACAAATAAGAGGTTAGTCACCTTTTCAAAACCTCTTGACACTACATATTACTTTTCTGACTATGAAGATAGGAGATGCACCAGTTTGTTGGATAGAGATCGTTTTAAGCGAAGGATTAGTCAAGTTGAAATTGTTTTACAAAACTCTCTCATGCTTAAGGCACATCATATTAGTCATTGCTCTCTTGATGATCATTCTATGTGTTATAAATTCTTGGTAAAAATAGGAAACTAACTCATCTGTTATGCACAGTGTAATACGCACTAACTTGCCAATTGGTGTCTAAGCAATCTAACATTAATTTACATGAACAGTCCTGCAGGGAGGTGGATGACGTTAAATGAGAGGAAACTCAAATCTTCTTCTGCTAAACATCTTTCTGATAGAGACTTCATCAGGATCCTTAGCTAAAAGGATACCACTAAGTGCATTTATTGTGGAGTACAAATATTTGAAGTTAGTCATCAAAACCTTTTAAATACGCGCAGGTCTTAAATATTTTAAAGTGTGGATGTTTTTAGCTTCATATACACTACTACAGATTATAATGAAAATAGTTTCATAAGACAACAGGAGCGGATAAATATGGCATGATGTAACATGCTTGAAATTTTATAAGCATATTCCTAAAATGTGGTTCCACGCAACTATTAAAACGTCAAAAGTGTTTTCAAGAGTCTTTTAGACAATTTGATGTTTAGTGTGTCGTTGAACAGACCACTTCAAAACCTCCAAAGTTTATGCATTTGATAGTCCTATTCCAAAGTGGTCCTGATCTATTGTCACACATACAAGATTTTTTAACAAAACAAAAATATATATAAAAAACACATTTTGTTGATAAATACAACATCTAATTAAATTATTTAATTTTGCACAATTGCTGGAACAACATCAACGGATGCCTCTTTAATATAAGTGGAAAAGGTCTTGTCTAATTGAGATTTTGCAGAACATGATGCCAATAAAATTTTATATACTGTAACTGTGTTTGCATTAAATGAGATTTATATACCCTAATGAATTTTTTGACTAGTTCTACACAACAAAAAGAAATAAATATGTACCAAGTGGTCTGTGTATTTTGTTAGCCAAATAACATCTAGACTATGTGTTATATTAAATATGTCTACATCTACCCTGGATATGCCTATAGTGTCATAAATATGTTACAATCACAAGGAAAAATAATTTCAAGTTACTTTTTTTAACATTTAATTTTCACATCTACATTTTTTTTTCGTTTTGATCCTACTAGATCTTCTTATCTCCTGTTCATTTTTCTCATCTGCTGTATTAATATAAAAAACAAAAAAGGTTAGTTAATAAAATAACAAAAACAAAAAAGTAATTTGTGTAATTAGGTATCAGGTTATGAGTTTATATGTAATGAATGGCATTTTGTTATAAATAACAAATTGCTCCGAGTACTTTACAATCAAATTCTTCTATATGTAAAAATACTTGTTGCTACATTATCAAACTTAAAACTAACATATAAATTCATACAAAATGTATAAATGCAACTATTAAAATATATTTGTTTGTTGATAATGAAAGATGAATATTAAATTATTTATAAGATTAGTCTAGTTATATGATCAATATTAAAAGTGTTAGTAATTAGATGGCTTATATGCTTACTCATTAGAAAGCTTGTGTTTGCGATTTTAACCTCTTGTTATTTGTCTATACTTATTTTCAGAACCTCCGGTTATAATTAAAAAGGTAAAGCCCTCACCGACTCACTGACTGACTGACTGACTCACTCACTCATCACTAATTCTCTTACTTTCCATTTACCTAGGAGGCTGAAATTTGGTACACTGATTCTTTAGGCATTAAATAGGAAAACTAAGCTGTTTTTATTCTGATCGGACTCTCGGGCTCTGCCCCAGTGGCTCTGGAGTTTCCCATGTTAACCTTATGAGTACTCATATTTAAATGGAATTAATGAATCTTAACAGCTGTTTCAATTAAAACAAGTTGGTTCTGTTCTATGATGTTCAATAGCATTAAAGTTACAAGGATTACCAACAGGGTGCAGCACTATTATTTCTTTTACATTTATGACAACGGCTAAATTGCAACCAAAAGGTGAGTGAGCGTAGCGAACGAACTTCAACCTAGAGGCTAGTTAGCGTAGCGAACGAGCTAACCTGAAGGCAAGTGAGCGCGGCGAACGAGCTCCAACCTAAAAGTGAGTGAGCGTGGCGAACGAACTTCAACCTAAAAGTGATGAGTGAGCGTAGCGAACGAACTTCAACCAGGACATGATTGAGCCATGCGAACGAGCTCACTTAAAGTTAAACGGGGCAAAGCCTGCGGGTACAGCTAGTAGTTGATAAAACTGACAACTAGTTTAACTGGTAACTAAAAACTAGCTTTAAAAAGATCTTGATTTTATAAATATACTAGCAACAGTGCCCGTTGTGGTTAAATACAACGGTCTCTAGTAAAATAATAGTTAGTTATGAAATCCATACACCACTTTACTCACTAATATTAATGGTTCAGATTCAGCACATAACATTAGATAGTTAGATTATGCATACTGGTAAACCAATTATTGCCATCTATACAAATTATTGGTTTTTCTTTTCCGAGTCGGGTTCGCTCTTTTACCCAACCGATGTTCATAATTTTGGCCTTAAGCTAAAGGTGTGGACGTACTACAGATTTGCTATTAAGCCGATATTCATTTTGAGGTATATTTTAAAAGAATTTAATTTAGATTTTTTATTTTTCACTTCATTAAAGGTATATTCCAGCAGTTCTAATTACATTACCCTATATGTTTTGGTCTAAAAACCTTTATTGAAATACAAGCTTTCATTTGATCTATTGATTATTAAGATCGGACTACCTAAATCACACCGCTGAATCACGAATCAACAATAATTACAATCGTTTAAGTACTTATCTGCAATCAATGATACGTAAATTTATTTTTATTTTATTATTTTATTGTCTCAGTCTTAAAATACTTCACAGGCTTTCACTTGAAATATTGATAGTTTTAAACAGTTAAGTTTAAGATACTGTATCACTCAATCAGAAAATATAAATTGGATTACATCTTGGATATGGAATTTAGTTTTAGATATATTTTCTTAATTCTAATAACGTTATTTCTATTTGTTTTGACCTAAGAACCTTCTGTGAAATACCAGCTTCCATTTTATTTATTGATTATTAAGATTAGACGTACCTAAAACACCCAGCTAAATTACGTACAACACAAATTGCTCAAAAAATGTAGTTATTTATTATTGATTTATAGTTAAACGAGCTTGCTTGCAACCTCAACAGTAACTGTCGACTATGACGGGTTTCACCTAGTAAATCTTCAAAAAAATCTAACTTTTATGATTATTTGCAAATCTACGCAAATTAGGCTTTCCAATGATCTATTAATTAATAAAATCGGTTCAGTAGAACTGTAGATTTAATTGTACACACTTTAACAACATCATCTCTAATTCATTATTTTCTTACCACTATAAATTGGGAAGTTGCTTAACATTTTTGCAAATCACTTTGAAACGGAGAGGAAATCGACCAAATTGGAAAGTGATATTCTGAAAGAGAATAAAATTTGCTACAAATTACTCCCAGATATTTTTTTGAAAATACTCAATAAACTCAGCCTAAAGTTGGCTATAAATATAAGCTTGGAAATATAATCTTGGAAAAAATGAGTTTTAAATGTATTATTGTTTATTTTAGTTTTTCACCTCAAATATCTAATAAAATCAAACTTTCATAACTATTTGCAAATATACACAAATTAGGCTTTCCAACGACCAATTAAGTAACAAAATCGGTCCTATAGTCTAGATTTAGTTGCACAAAGTTTAACAAAAATATATCTAATTCAGTATTTTCTCACTACTATAAATTTGAAGATCACTTAGATTATTGTCAATAACTTTTAAATGATGGGTAAATCGACCAAAGTGGGTGGGATATTCTGAAAGAGAATAAAATTTACTGCAAACAACTACTATGCATTTCTTAAAGTATTTCTTATGGAAAACATGTTTTTAAAACACTTTTCACCATAAATCATAACAAAAACAAACTTTCATAATTATTTGCAAATCTACACGACTTAAGCTTTCCAACAACCTATCAATTATTATAATTGGTCCAGTAGAACTCTAGATTTAGTTGTACAAAGATTTTAAAAACTGAATTATATATAGAATAGAGAGATTTTTCCAATTCTAATATACATAGCCTAATTCTCATATACACAAGAAGTTTAATTAACATTAGCTTTGACTATTAATACAACTATATATTCCATCACAAGGTTTAATTTGTAGCTAGTACTTTTTATAAAAATTGTCATAGTTAATTTTAGCCACCTATAGAATTACATTACATCCATTGATTTAAATTGCTAAATTCCATCAAATACATAATCTTTTTTACCAAGACAAACTTAGGGAATGACTTATGATAAGTTATAGCAACTTAAATATATAGGATAAATGTCTACCAATACTTACGGTGGTGTTTTTTATAGATGTTTAAAAACTTCACCCTCCCTTTTTTTGTCGTACGTTTTTTTTGTACGATGTTGTTGTTTTTTGTTTGGATACTTTTTTCTAAAAAAATACAAAATAAGTTTATGTGATAGTATAATAGAATAAAAAAATCTAGACATACTTTTAGAAAGACATTTGCCTATAGTCAAATTAAAAAACTTTTTGCAGGAAAAATCTAGACATCCTGATAGAAAGATATTTGCCTGTAAATGTTTGAAACCCTTTATAAGTTAATATAGGTATGAAAATAAGCTCAAAATAAATTTAAACTTAAATACATGGGTCTTATGGAATGTCATGCTAGTAACAAAATATTAACAAAATAAAAAATAACAATTTGAATTACATGCTATTTTTACAGAATGGGTGAAAATAGAAAAATATTAGGCTACTTTTAGTCAAGTTTTCAACCACAGGGTGTGCTCTAGTCTTGGGTTTAAATGAAATATATTTGAGAATTATGAATGTAGGAATCGGCTATTTTTGTATAAGTAGGCTATATGAAACTGATTTGTTGGATATATTTCATGCCATTAAACATTTATATTAATATAGATTTTGTTACAGTTTTAATATAACTGTTTATTTTTTCATCATGTAATAATGATAAATCAAATGGATATATGATATAATGTGTATTTAATATTTTATTGTATAAAAACACTTAATTTTTTGACCTGAACTATGTCTATATTTACTTTATGTTAAGAATTATATCTAAAAAATACACAACACAGGTTTGTGAGAAATAAAAAAAAAAAATTTTAACATTATTTCTAAATAGCTAAGCTAAAAAATTTAAACTCACCCATCTTGAAGCAAAAAATTGTATCGGGCAAGAAAGCGAGTTAATAAAAACGTTTTAAAATGAACATCTGGTTGTATATATACTGCATTACATATTGACGTAAATAAATGATAATAGTACTTTTACTGCGCTAAGCTGCAATATGGATCATTACATAAGGTGGGTGCAGAGTTTATCTCAATATTGTCGACTAAAGCATCCACATGGAGTATCTTGGATAAACCATTTTATAATTGGTTCTGTATCAAATACACAGTGATAAATAATTATATTTGAAATCCATTATTGAGTAACAAAATTAAAAAGTTATATTTAATATCAAATAAACTTCAAAAATTATAAAAATGTTTACCAATTGCTTAAAACATCAAATGAGGTTATATTAATTAGCTCTCTATCTAAAGATAATCTAAAAAATGGACAACTATTTTTCCACTATATCCCTCCAACTAGCGGCACAAGTGTAATAGTTATAGTATATGGTTTCTGTAGTGGCAGCAACTCTGTTTTGCTTTATTAGACATAAAGTGAATCGAACATTTCAGTTACACCATATACACATCATAAAACTGCCATACACGGATGTTTTCAAAAATTAAGTGGTATTACATATGATCTAACTACAACAAGAACAAATCAAACAATTTTTACATGTTTGTGAATCAAAGAGCGACTTTAATAGTCGCCAACTTAAAACATGTTTTATTTACTAAAATATATATTTATTCATATGATAAATTATCTCATTTGAAAGTCCATGAAATTCTGCGCATTTTGTATGTAATTGTTTTAAATTACACTACTGGTGCTGAGTTTATCGGCTGATACTTTTCATGAATATTTATCTTACTAACTAAACCTCAATCTCGATTGACCATCAACACTAAAAGTCAAGTTTTAGTGAGATTTTACCTTATCAGTTAACATTATGATTATAAGGTATATACTTATATATAATACATAAAGGTGATTTCAACAAAACAACAGACAAATAATCTTATATATTAAATAAATTTGGTTTTTCTTATCCAAGTTCGTTTGGCTCTTCCGCCTGACCGATTTTCATGATTGAGGTCTCAAATTGAAGGTATGTACGCACAGATTTGCCATCAAGCATCGGCTTATATTTCTCTATCATCCTACTTGGCTTACATGTTAACGAAATTTGCTTCCATGTATTTCTTATGTGAGTTAAATTTGGCTTTTTCAAGTTCATTTGGCTCTTCTATCCGACCAATTTTCATGATTGAGGTCTCGAAATAAAGGCATGCACGTCAAGTTTACACATAAAGCATCAACAGATATTTACCTACTGTATTACTTAACCAAAACACGTAATTTGATTTACTATTTTATAATCCTATATATTTTAGTCTAAGAACCTTCAGTGAAATACTGGCTCTCATTTAAGCTATTAGTTATTCAAATTGGACGAGTTTCAAATAAACGCAAGGTTAACAACCAACCAAAAAATTATTTTTAATTAGGTTTTAATATGATTAAAAATCAACAGCTCAAATATTGTTCATGTTTTCTATATGTTGTAGACTCAAAAAAGTCAGTAAATTATAGGCAACCATAGTAAATTTGATGTATTAATCGTTCGAATTAGTTAATCTCAATATACTGTATTATTTTATTTAAAATCATAAATTTGATTATTTCTCAGTTATTATATTTATTTTAAAGCCACAGGGCAGCATGTGTCCTCTAGTTGTATTAATTACTACGGCTGTTCATAGTAAACACATGATACACACATGAGCGTTAGTTTTCAGAGTGAGTTTATTTTCAGTTTCAATAATTAGATTGATTACACCATCTTTAAGTTGTCTTTCATCGTAAATTATGACTGTTATTCATTTTGAAATAACGCCTGCAATAGTTTACAATTGCTTGAATTTGAGCAGCAGGTGCACTAGTATTTATAAATGTTTAATTTGGATATTATTTATTGTGCTTTGACTGAAATATAACATTAGAAACTTGAGACACAATTTTTAGCAAGTTTTTTTGTGAACTTTATTAACTGTTTACCAAAAACATATATCACAGGTATGACTATATCACTTTACATCATATTTATTAGTTGTAAATTTGTACATATTTTATTTTGTAAACTGAGGTTTGGGACATTCGATTTAGCTCCCCCTTACATTTCATAATAATGAACAAACGATTTGATCATTAAATAAAAAAACAATTTGTCTTCATAACTATAAATAGCCTATGTGATATGTGGATTTTATGTGTTTGAAAAATAATATACATGTGTGAATGAAAAGTGTTTCTATAAAATATAAATAATTATAAAGTTATAAAATATTTTTTGTAATGATCATTTTCCATTAACAACTCTTACTTCATTTGATCTCCAGCCTTTACAGAAAATGTGTACTTTTATTTGGTTTTCATTTGAAATGTGTAAAACCAAATCAGAAAACTTGCCATTTTATTGTTTTTGTGTCATAACTTTGTAAAAATATTATTTTTCCCATATTATGATAATTGAAGTCTGTTTACATTTCAATATAGGGAAATAAATTAAAAAACATTTTTATCTTATATTTTACATGAAAAATATTTGATTCATGCAGTAAATTTTTACTTTAAAAATTTCAAAAATAATATTTTTCTTACATTTTCCGCCTAATGTCAATATTTGCTTTTCTAAATATTTATTCTGATACTATTTTTAAGTTCTTCATTCCATTACAAAAAATTCAAGTAGGTTTACTCTGTTGGTCTAGCTTATGAATATATGACTGCAAAATCACCTTGCCACTATAGAGTCCACCCATTACCAGTTGGAGGGATAAATATTAGCAGAATAGACCACTATGACATGTTGAGTATTTATGGCAAAATAAAACCAGAAAACTATTGTTGAGTGCTTTAATATGTATACAATACAAAATTTCTAGTTTTACTTTTTAATGTCAATACCTGCTCTATTTATGACTTAATTTATCATGTTTATAATTGATGCAAATTGTGAGTGATTATCCCAACTGTGTTGCAAAGGACACACGTGGTACTTAGGTTCGCAGTCCGCATTACAATAAAACTTTCCACTAAAGTCAACAAAATGTCATATCACGTTTTCAATTGACGTAAATGAGTGATTATCACGGGCATGGCGTGAAGGAAGCACGTGGTACCTAGGCAGTCCACTGCGTGTGAAAAGTTTCCACAAAATTTTATAAATTATTTCAAAAACAGTACCCAAAAAATCAATTCCAAACAAAATAGATTTCAAAGAAAATTCAAGCGAGTATTAGGAGCACTGAAGATACTAGGAAACAAAATCGACGGATTCAAAAGCGCGCGCAAAAAAAAAAATCAACTCCAAACGAAATAGATTTGAAAGAAAATTCGAACAAGTATCAGGAGAGCTGAAGATACTAGGAAACTGAATCGACAGAGCCAAAAGCGCGCGCAAATGGAGATAAAGAAGTGTAAACAACAATGGCGGACGATGTAAACAGACGCGGTGACCCGCGGGTCGGGGAATACCCGATAACGGATAACGCCGGAATGCGATATCTTTTATCTAATTGTTTTTTAATTGGGGTCAATTGGGGTTAAACGTTTGATTGGCGCTATCGGCTGATTACTGGAGGTCAGGGGTCAAGGATTGTAAACAATAAACAAGGTATGGCTTTGCGGGGGGCAACACCTGTTGCCCCAAATGCACCCTCCCTATACTACTTATGGGCAATCCTAAAATGCTATGGGAAGGGAGGGAAACAGGTCCGTGACGTAAGAAGTGGTGAAGGAAGTAGTCAAGGCGAGCTGTCTGGAGCGTGGGAACTGTTTATGATGATTAGATTAAGGTATTTGCAATCCTAAAATGCTATGGAAAGGGAGGAAAATAGGTCCGCGACGTAGGAAGTGGTGAAGGAAGTAGTCTAGGCGAGTTGTCCGGAGTGTTGGAAATGTTTATGACAATTAGATTAAGGTATCAGCAAACCTAAAATGCTACGGGAAGGGAGGAAAACAGGTCCGCGACGTAGGAAGTGATGAAGGAAGTAGTCAAGGTGAGCTGTCCGGAGTGTGGGGACTGTTTATGACGATTAGATTAAGGTATTTGCAATTCTAAAATGCTATGGAAAGGGAGGAAAATAGGTCCGCGACGTAGGAAGTGGTGAAGGAAGTAGTCTAGGCGAGTTGTCCGGAGTGTTTGAAATGTTTATGACAATTAGATTGTGGTATCAGCAAACCTAAAATGCTACGGGAAGGGAGGAAAACAGGTCCGCAACGTAGGAAGTGATGAAGGAAGTAGTCAAGGTGAGCTGTCCGGAGTGTGGGAACTGTTTATGACGATTAGATTAAGGTATTTGCAATCCTAAAATGCTATGGGAAGGGAGGAAAACAGGTCCGCGACGTAGGAAGTGGTGAAGGAAGTAGTCAAGGCGAGTAGTCCGGAGTGTGGGAACTGTTTATGACGATTAGATTAAGGTATCTGCAATCTTTAAATGCAATGGAATGGAGGGAAACAGATCCATGACGTAGGAAATTGTGTAGGATGTAGATGTGTGGATTTATGCATCTCCAATACTACGGTGCTTTCAGAGTGAACTAATGATTTTCCCCGAGAAAAGCTCGGTCCCCAGGTACTATAATCAAATGACGACACTAGCTTGAGGTTCGTGACGTATGAAGAGGTTAAGGAAGTGGTAAAGGTGAACAGTCTGGAGTATGGAAACTGTTTATGACGATTAGATTAAGGTCACAACGTTCCTAAAATGCTACGGAAAGGGAGGGAAACAGGTCCGCGATGTGGGAAGTGGCGAAGGAAGTAGTAAAGGCGAGCTGTTCGGAGTGTGGGATCTGTTTATGACGATTAGATTCAGGTATCTGCAATCTTAAAATGCTATGGGAAGAGAGGGAAACAGATCCGCGACGTAGGAACAGGTGAAAGAAGTAGTAAGGTGAGCAGTGTGGAGTGTGGGAACTGGAAACCGTTTGTAGCAGTTTTAATGTATCTGCAATGCTGAAATGCTATGAGAAGGGATGGAAGCATGCCCAAGACA